AAGAAGCGCGGCTCCTACCGGGGAGGACCCATAGACATAGGCCCCGGAAAATCATTCAAGTTTGAAGACTAGTGCTGGGAATCGTAACTACAAGATCTCAGTGCTGAGCAGATGCACACTCTTTCATATCTCGCGACTTACCAAAAGAAGAAAAAATATTTTATTCTTCAGCTAGCTCTTTGTTTGCTATTTTTCATTCCCATACCAGAGTCTCTTCCTTTGTGTTCCGTTGACTTCATTAATTCTCCAGGTCTCGCCACCCCCACGACCTATCAAGTTGGAACTTTTCCTGTACGCTGGCTGGACGGTTCGTTAATTTGCTGTTATGAAACCTCTATTACCAAAAATTAGATCAGTAAATCCTGTAGCGTTCTAGCGAGATAGAATGTCAGAACACACCGTCTTTATTACCTATATTGAGATATAATCTGCAAGATGAGGCCAGCAACCGTTTGTTTTACTAGTTACTTACCATCTTGCGCTAAATGCTCAGTAATATCCATTCTGCTGGTGGGAATGCAAGCTATATATGGAATCATCAGTAGTAAACTCTAGATATGGAAGGAAATTCCATGCGCTAGAATTTCTAGGAGGCAATATAAATCTAAGCGTCTATATGAACTCGGATAACATGGATAGGGAACCAACGCAATGAGAACCAAATTAAATATATATAACAGGACTTCCGCGATAATATAACCCAGAATACTGAACAGAAATCTCCATCCATCGGTCAAGCCCTTGTCCGCCTCCCCCTCACCCTCTTCTTCCCTTTAACCAACGGCTGCCACCAGCGCGGATCCCAGCCAGGAACCCTTCCTTGATCGGCTCCATCGCCGTCCCTTTCCCAACTCCCCACGACTTTATGTAACGAATGCTGCATCATCAACTTAACTCCCTTCCCCCTATCCTCGGGTAATGGCCGCTCATAGCACGACAGATCAAACGGGCGCACACTAGAGCTGGACGAATGTACAGGTAGATGGTTACCTATACCGGCATTTGCGTCCGCATATGCAGTAGCATCCACATCCAAACCGAGCCCGAGATTCTGTTCATACCATTGCCGATGTGGACCGGTGATGTCGTCCGTTGATGCAAAATCGAGACGGATTACGTTTGCCTCCACGCCGACGTAGACTGTTGAGGAGGATGGAGAAGGAACGGACATGGTGTATATCGGTCCCCGGTAACGGAGGTTGTCACGGAACAGAGGCGCACGGTTCGAGGGACGGACGGGTGGGCGGTTGGAGAGGAATACGGAAACGTCGCGGCGTGGGTAGCGTAGTGAGTCTTTCAAGATTTTCTCTGAAGCTGGGGTTTCTACGTTTTGCAACTGGAAATTGTGGAAGCCATTGCTCGTTTGGCGGTAGTGGTGATTCTGGTGGTTCTGCGAATGTAAGGGAGCGGGGCGAGCATCCAGATAAGAATATCTATTCGGCATGCGCATGTCGAAAAATTTGACAGTGGCATTTATACCGCTGCCAACAAGGAAGCATTCGCGCCCTATTGGTTGGATGACATATATCAGACTGTCATCCACGGTATCGATATAGGAGGAAACGTAAGGTTTTGGCGAACGCAAGTCATGAAGCCTTGATCCAGAGTCAGTGAGGAGAATCATTGGAAATAATAGGACTGGCCATGATATATCGGTAGGGTAGTCAAAGGTGCATACCGGACTTTACTATCTTCCCACCCTGCCAGGAAGAGATCTCCTGCCCTTCCACCAGTACGTGATGTCACTGGCAGAGGTTCAATTGTTTGCACTTGGGACTTTCTCATTAGACCACCCTCATCGGAATCATCCATTTTGAAATCACGAGTTCTGGTGACACCGGTGGGCGTCAAGTCATAGACACGTATTGTATCAATGGCGCTGTCGGATCCAACAGCTATTCGTTCATCACATAAAAGCCGTGAGCATTTATGCCTAGCAAAACCATGAGCAGTAGTTTTGAGTATGTCTAAGGGTTGCAATTCATCTTCTTCGGCATCAGCTCTGAAGAAGGCAATAGCCCGTCTTCCTAGAGTTGCAGCCAGCAATCTTTGAGGCCCCGCACTCAGATCTGTTTTCTCGAGACTATTTGATTCTCCCGTGATGTAACGTTTCTTCAGAACGCTGCTTCCCGTCCCTGGAGAAATAGCCATTCGAAGAAGGCTTCCATTACGACGTCCGAATATGATATCTTCGCTCTCAGTACCTGGTTCCCCGTATGTTGAGGGTACAGCATGAACCCCAGCAATATCATCCCAGCTGTTAACCCCGTGAAGATCATTAAAAACAGCCCAGGTCACACCGTCTCGACTTCTTCCAATACTCCTTCTGTGCCTTGCGACTTCAATGTCAGGTTCAACTCGATGTTCCCTTTTGTTATTTTTGCCATAAAGGCTCAAATCCGTAACACGGATATTTAAGTCCGCGCCGGCACCCCAGACGAGGACTTCTTTCCTACTATGCCAGTTATTGCCACACCAGACTTCGTAGCTATCAATTACCGGTCTATATCCAAGCGTTGGGTGATCCGTCCGGACCGTCCTTGGGTGACCGATCCGCCGAGCATTTTGAGGAGGTAGAACAAAACGGCCAATAATTGCTTTGCGATCGAAAGCCCTCGACCGTGAAGTTAGGGCACGAGCCGCATCAACCCAGAACGGTGGGACATCAATGGACTCAAAACGGCTTTGTACGAACGCCTGAAAAATGCGGTAATTCCCTGCGGAGATAATCTCGTGTAGTCGCCGGCATGTTAGGGCGAGGTTATGAACACAGCTGGCGGTGGACAGAAAACTGACGATATGGTAGACAATATCGGATGGTAGGTCTAGAAACATTCCCAGATCTCAATAGAAAATACTTTTTGCCATGGAATTCTAGTTCTGGTGTCGTCAGTAGCCGGCAGGAAAATAGGGCATGTCCGGAGTTTTTATATTTTGATACAACCCAAGCCGCCTCCTTGTTGCCTGCCCCCCTGCGCAAGAGCGACAAGCCGCCAGGCGCCAGAACCGTATATTCGTTATGTAAGCTACCACCTCCACAGGCTCAGATATCAGCTACCTACTCAGCCGTCTCTTCTTTTTTCTACAAGAGGAGCTTGATGCCGATTTTACCTTATGTACGGAGTATGAAAGAGGTGCAAGGAAGTCCGTTCGTGTTCCAATAATAAGACCCCTTGGCTATTTATCTCTATTCTACTCAGGGCAAATCCTCAACAATTACCCCCGGCACGTCACCGGGACCATTGACATGGTATATAACCTCGTTTTGCCAACAGCGATTGCTGTAGGCCTCTCAATTCTTTCCTTGTATAAATATTTTATATATCCTGTCTTCATATCTCCGCTATCTAAAATCCCAAGTGCCCATTTCTCTGCTCCAGTATCACCCGCATGGATATTATGGAATCGCTTTAGGATGCGAGGGAATCGGACCATCCACAAGGCGCACCAAAAATACGGCCCCATCGTTCGACTGGGGCCGTCAGAGATATCCGTAAATTGCATCGACGGCGGCATTCGTACTGTCTACGCTGGTGGGTTTGAAAAGCATGACTGGTACCCTCGTGTTTTCGGTGCTTATGGGTACGTGATCTGTGTTGGATACCCCAGCGTTGCTAGCACCCTGATTGTCCCTAGGTCTGACCCGCATTGAAGGACCCTCAGCATGTTCTCGATGGTGGGGACCAAACCCCATTCGGTGCGCAAACGGATGATGTCTAACATATATTCCAAATCCTATCTGCAATCATCTCCTCACATGGCCACAATATCGCAGGCTATCATATACCGCCGCTTACTACCAATACTCCAGCGTAATGCGCGATTTCAATCCAACGTAGAGGTTCATGAGCTGAACAATGCTATAACGATGGACTTCGTTTCCGCATATATCTTTGGACTCGCATCAGGCACCAATTTTCTGGAGGATGTTTCTGCTGGGAGAGAGTGGTTCAGAGTTTATCAGTCACGAAAGCCTTTCGAATTCTTTCATCAAGAAGTGCCCAACATGACCTCTTTGGCTAGGATGCTAAAGATCCCATTAATCCCCAAGTGGTGTGAGAAAGCTAACCAGGATATGGAGGACTGGGGGTTGGAGATGATCGATAATGCGGAAAAATTTATTGCATCTACAAATCCGGCCTGCGAACCAATTGTGTATAAACAAGTTAAGCAATCAATGCTAAAGCAATTGGCTAAAGATGGTCTTGAAGCCAATGCGGGGGTCTTGAGCCAGCAGCGTCTCGAGTTAGCCTGCGAGATGTATGACCATCTAACTGCGGGTCATGAAACCAGTGCAGTTGCCCTCACTTATTTGTACTGGGAACTATCAAGGCATCCTGATTTGCAGGTAGAGCTCCGAAAGGAATTGGACACGCTTTCACCGAGAATAATGGCTCAATCGGTCCCTGGGATCCCAACCGAGCTGCCGCACCCAAAGGATATCGATGCCTTACCACTCCTAAATGCAATCATTATGGAAACGCTCCGCCTCCACTCTCCAATCCCAGGTATACAACCCCGAATAACACCAGCACCACATACAACTCTAGCGGGGTACGATCAAATACCACCGAAAACTCGAGTGAACGCGCAGGCATACTCACTGCATCGGAACCATGACGTTTTCCCAAACCCAGAATCATTTTTGCCGCACCGATGGCTCGAACCAAAAGACTCAGTGGACCTGGAGAACATGAGACGATGGTTTTGGGCATTCGGAAGCGGAGGCCGGATGTGTGTTGGTAGCAATTTAGCCCTGCAGGGTAAGTTGTGTTTGGCTGTTTCGTTGCTTTTTCAACTGGATTCATGTATTTGTTTGAATTCATTATAACTAATCCAATGATGGCACACTACTTTGGCCTGAATTAGAGATGAAACTCGTCGTCGCTGCAATATATTCGAACTTTACAAGCAAGATTGTCGATGACGAAGGCATTGAGCCTATCGATGCATACACAGTCCGGCCATCCAGCAACAAATTGGTACTAAAATTCGAACTTGTTTGAGGGCCAGTGATCCTGGGTTCAACAACTTATTTTGCCTACCTCTTCTCAGACCCGCTTATACATCAGTCCAATAGGATTGATGGAAATTCTCCCATTTGATGAGCGGCTATAACCCTCCATGGTGTATATACGTATCACTGAATTTGTTCTCACCTCACCTTCCAGCGAACGAATTTCCGATTGGATTAGGTCATGAATTTCGCTCTGTAAATAACGCATAAACGACATGTCGTACGTCAATAAATACATTTTCGATTCATAATATACACAAGAGAAGAATGATAATCAATTCTTCCTTTCAGAAATGAAGGGGAAATCCAGCTACCTCATGAATAAAATACTAGAAACCCTTGTTTCTTCGCTCTCCATGCACCAAGCCAAAACATCCTAAACTCCAACCTCCATGCAACAACGCGTATTCACAACTCCAACTGTCGCAGGTTGTTTCTCTAAACCACATAGAGCCAGCAAATGTGGGCGCCCAGTCTCGGGGAGCTCGAGAAACCCAGTTAACTAATTTTCCAGTATTCGTTTTGAGGTGAGGAGTCTAGATGAACTATAAAAGACGGCATATGCTGAACATGAAAAAGCAAAAATAACACAGCCCACAGCCCACAGCATAAACAAAGCAGAACCCAAATAAAAATGTATATAAATAAAAACTCAGTGAAACACGCCGTCCTTCTTTCTTGGCCCTGATATCTTGGGAAACATCCGCATGAGATGGTAATTGATTGTGCTCTTCCCTTTCCGTTGTATTTTCTAAAATCCAAGTTAAATGGCATTGAGTTAGCCAATGATGACCCCACGTAATTCAAAGAAGGAAATGTGGATTACGCAGAGCAATCGGTAAAAGTAGAACGTACCCCTTTATCCATGCATGCTCTTAATTGTTGTTCTAAAGCGAAGCACCCACTGCTCCCCGATCGGTTTGAAGCCCAGCAACCTATAAGCCACAGCAACAGAAACACCCATTAGTACATGTTGCCCTTTTTCATAGTCGTACTTCGCTCCACCAACCGCCCAAGATGAGCGCGGAGAGCAAAGTCCACTCCGGGCCAACAGCAGCAAGAAGGGAAAGAGGGGGGAAACGAACTCAGAACACTTGTCATGACGGCAAGACATGGGTTTGCTTGATGGGTATTCGGACTCTTTACTCGAAGTTTTTGGATTGTTTGCAAATGTAGTGGCTTGATGCGCGTCGCAGCACCTTTTGGAGGCATGGTTCTGATATGGAAGTGGTGCGGGGAAACGCCAATTCGATTTAGTTTCCGAATGAAAATCTATTGGTAGACGGATGAAGGATTGAGCAGACGTTGCGATAAATTTGGAGACGCGTTTCAAGCCGACGTTTCTAATTAGATCCCTTCGAGAGAGATAATTGATGCAAGGCGCTTTTTTTGAAGGTCTTCGCCGATGCCAAGATTCGAATTTCCTTCCCGGGCTGATGTAATCAAGACATCGCCGCAACACGACTACGGAGTATCTGCTTGAAAGTTCATTAGCATGCTATTATCTACTGTCTAGCAACGGTAGAGGGAAATGATGAGATGTCAGCAACTGTTCGTTTTTCATTACTGTGCCCCATGCCTTCGCGCACAACGTCTACGGCCAGGTTCTCGCCATGAACGCATTATCCGAACAAGGGCATTCTCTGCTGGGCTAAGAGGTGTTTCGCAACATGAACAAACTCAATCAAGAGAGAGTGGCCAAGAGAAACGAGATGGGATATCCAGTGCAGAGGAGGGCGCAATGTCAAGAATGCTATCCTTAATGGCGGACGAATCGATGTTAGAAGGCGGGAGATCCTCCCGCAAAAACATGCAAGAGGCAGGCTTCTCCGAAGAGTTGAAAAAGAAGCTAGAGGAGAGGATTGCAGAGAGTACTTTTCGAAATGAGAATGCTGCTGCGTTCTCTCTTGTCAATATGCCGGTATGAAACATTTATACTTACTACAGGTTCAAGCCTGTTTGGAACTTTTACCGCCGTACAATTTTTGCCGCTCATATTATATTGTAACAATAGAATAACCGTCACAGGCCAGTGCCGGCAGAGGAACCCAAGATATCGCTGCAGCGGCTCCGTGGACAGGGACCGAATCCATCCACGACGCCTCACTCCGGATGCTACACGATGCAAGCAAGCCAATACGAGTCCCATTTAAGCCCCCGCAGCCCGGTCCGAAGAACCTGCTCCCAACGGTGAAAAAGTCCATATCATCGAGCGAGCGCCTCGCCGCCGCTCGCGATCGCACATCCACCTACGCCCTAAGTCGGGACCCCAACATGTCCGAACGGGAGCGCGAAGCGATCCGTAGAGAACTACAAGAGCGATTCACGCCTGGCGCGCGCGCGATCACACCTCATGGACTTAGCTCGCTGGCAAACGAGCGCATCGAAGATGCAATCGCCCGTGGCCAGTTCCGGAATATCCAACGCGGCAAGGGAATCAACACTGAACGTGATCACAACGCAAGCAGCCCCTATATCGACACGACAGAATACCTGCTGAATAAGATTATTCAGAAACAGGAAGTTACCCCACCATGGATTGAGAAGCAACAGGAGGTAGCGAAAGAGGTTGATCGGTTTCGGAGGCGGTTGCGTAGTGATTGGAAGAGACACGCTGTGCGGCTCATTGCAAGCCAGGGTGGATCACTGGAAAGTCAGATTCAGCGAGCGCGGGGTTATGCCGCTGCGGAAGTACGGTTGGGCAATAACGGACAGAATACGTCGCATACGGCAGAAACCAATGCAAAAGCACCCGAATCCCATAACAACTCCTCCGCATCTCAACATCTCCCATCTGTCCCACCACTGCGAGATGCCGACTACCTAAAAATCGAACAGGCATACCATAACCTGACAGTTAAAAACCTCAATGCACTAATAAGGTCCTACAACCTTATGGCTCCCCCCGTTGCTCAGAAACCCTACCTGAAACTCGAGCGTGAATTGCTCTCCTGCTACGCGGACGTGGCACCGTCTCTACCAGGCGAACTGCAACGGAGAGCAACAGAGAAGTTACGCAATTCGACTCGTAGTATTCCACCAGGGCTCCATGAGTCCGGTTTACTTAAAAGTCTATCTCTGACGCAAAACGTGCGGCTTCATGAGGAGAATCCGTCCAAGCGGTATGGATTTAAACAATTCTGGCGAGATCTATGGAACCGGAATGATACTGCGACCGGCTAAACTCACATGGATTCTATGCACTCTAGAACAGGTAATTGGAGCAGCAATTTCTTAGGTCATTGTACATTTGATTTAGGACACTGTGCCTTACAGGGGGTGGTATGTGCGTTCCAGGGTGTCTTTGAAATGAATCTCATGAGCGATGGTCGTGTTTGTATGAATTTGACCATTCGATGACCATTTGATGTTGGCAAAAGGTGTGTTGGGAGGTTAAGGGTAAAGGAACTATGTGCTTTGATCGAAGAAGGCAGGGAAAGGCGGCAAAAGTCATAATGATCATTTCTGTTGTGCCCGGCACTCCTTTCAAGACAGAGTATTGCAAAGGCAACGCAAATTCCGCGATATTTATCGGTCCCAAAAAACCGCAGGTTGGGATACCCTAGCGCGTAGGTGAGAGAATATGGGATCTAGTCTGCTGCTCCGAACTGCCAATGGGTGTCAAGCCTAAGGAATAAGCAGGCGTCAAAATCATAGCCTTATGCTCTGCTAGGCACACGCCAAAGGTACGAAAAGGAGAAACAGATGTCAAGCACGTAAGAAACGACAGAGCCGAGCGAGTGGACTTAGGGTGGGGGATAATTGATAATTGATATCTTGAACATGCTTTACACGAGCACGATTACCACATCCTCATCATCGTCATCCCCATCAGCATATGGCGGCGGTGCGGAAATCATTGCAGCGTCCTTCTCATTATGCTCTCTCACTTCGTTCTCATGATCCCGTCGGAACTTATAACAACCCCACCATAGGCGTATGACAGAGTAAGCGGAATTTAAACACAAAGCCATTGACATTGCTGCATATACGGTGGCCGCGTCTAGTCTGGCAAAATCTTGGGGACTAGAAATACCAGAATCCGTGCTTTCAAGCGAGGGTTTCGGGGGCAATATAGAACTCAAAACAGGGCCATCGTGAACTCCGTAAACCAGAAGTACGCCTGTTACATGGAATACAGAACCCAACAAAGCACGGGCAAATGCTGCATCTTGCTTTCTTCGTGGAGAGTTGTCTGGCGATCCGGCGTCATCATTGGACGGAATAGACGGATCTTGCACTTCATTTTCATCGTCACCATAGGCTGTGAAGTGATTCCGCGGCACAAGATGGAGAGCAATCGGTACCATAAGGACAGGAATGGCAAGAATTTGCATCGTAACCCAACATATCAGGACCAGTTTGGTGGCCGCAGAGTCGCGCAAGGACGCACTCCAGTCCGAGGCGGGATCGGCAATCGAGAATAACGATCTCGATTTCACCGCGGCAGAGACTGTAGCACGGAGGGGGATAATAAAAGGACGCCATGGAATTTTTGGGTAGTCGTTTTTGGGCCAACCAGCTTGTGCCATATCTGAATCGCCAAAAGGGAGCCGCGATACCACCTCCAAATCCCCAACCCAGACCTCGTTTACCGCGTTCCCTGGTTCGAAGAAATTGGGGGAGCGGACACCAGTGACTGCTGAGACTTTATTCCCCATGATGCGAAGGAGGTCAATGGGGCACTTGCAAAAGAAAAAATATATCAATCAAAAGAGTGTTGATGGGTAAATAAGGAGTATACGGATTATCAAATAGCGAACGTATCTTGCTCTCCTCCTCTGCTTGGGTAGCAGACTAGGGGGAATTGCTTCATCACACTTGGGATGCAGCATCCATGGATGGATCGGGCGTGGGCAAAGAAATCAACAAGCAGAAGTTTTTCTGCTGTTCAATACATCTCGAAAACTCTTGCGGCAGGCATCATCCATGTTTCTTGTCCACGCAACAGCGCCAGGCAAGCACGGCCATGTATGTATGTAATGTACAGTACCTAGGTAGTTTAGACATTCCCTCAGAGAATGTATGTACTGTACATGTACATGTACAGTCTGTACCGTACCTGTACCTGCGTAGAAATATATAAAAAGTTACACTGTAAAAATCATGTCTTGCCATGCCATGCGGCTCCGTAGTCCCAACCGGCTCAGGCTGCGCTGAGGCTGTAGTTAACTCTCAATCTATCCATATATATAGCCCCTGCCCTCGACCCAACAGAGCAATTTGGATCGAGAGTTCATTGTTTGGATCCACTCACATCCTGGCAGCAGAGATCCAAACACATACGCTATACCTCCGTCGCTTGATGTTGCATAGGTAGAAGAAATGGTAGTAGTGGACTAGGAGTCGAGGGAACACACGCATCACCAGATCCGCCGCCTTGTTCTACAACTGGCAATACAGTAAATCAGCTGTGGAAGACTCGCACACCCTCAGGCGAGGCTGCAGCTGGGGTATCTCCTCATCTCTTCATGAAAATCAAGTAGCAAGGCAAATTAGTCCAAGAGCAACAACTCTGCATTAGTTGGGCCTGGTGAGATGATAGGGTTTTTGCCGCGCGGTATTTCATCGTCTTGGATACTGAACCTCCCTGTTCATTTGTTTTACAAGACGTCTCACGCGCCGGAAGAGGGCTATGTGGAATTCAACAAGATGCTAGCAGCCAAAAAGATGTATTTAGTTGGTCTATCACAAACATTCCACACCTCAGCCTAAATCAGGCCAACCCCGATCGCCTCTCCATGCCCCAGAGGAGATGGCATTTTGCAGGCGGGTGCGTACATTTCTTCCTCCAATGCCCACGGCCCATCATCGGCCCGCAGTGAAAACAATGTGAGGTGTGACCGTGTGAGTGCAAAAGGGACTAGTGTGACGGATCATGCCTGTCGTGCAGCAAGATCATGAACTAAGATACCATACCGGCAGCCTTTCGTGCTGGCGACTTGCGTTGACTGGCTACACGCAACATGGGGAAAACGCCGACTTCTATCTCGGCGCTTAATTTGCAGCAAATCATTCTTTGTCTTGACAGAAAATCCCTCTGCAAGGTTCCAGCAAATACCCAACCACAATCATCGATGCCGTTTCCAAGGAGCAGCCAGTTTTAGTGCGTGCTGGCCACCATGCTAGCTTGGGAATCCCAGCAGCCAAAATAGCTTGCGATTATCTCAATGGGTCAGTGATGACAATGTGCGACCATGCGGCCCACATCCTCTCACAGCCTCCTCATGCTACTCCCCTCTCTCATTTGTAGACCAGACCTTTACCTCACAGGAGTTTTACCGGAATGCCTCTTGAGGAACTCTCCCTTCGAACCAATCACTCAAGCAGTGTTCGCAGATTCCTGATGCCGATCCAAAATCAAAGACGCAGTGTTTGGATCTCCCTTCCTCGCATGGATCTTATATCTACCAAAGCCCCGCAGAGTGGTAAACGCTGCTCCTGTTGTTACAGAGGTGAAAGGGGTGGCCTGGATTGTTTGGGAGACTTTATTCCTGGCATGTCGGATGCGGTATAACAACCCGAGGATCACGACATGTCCGCTCCACGGTTGTCATTTTCTACTTGTTTTCTGCTGCTTTTGATCCAGGCCGCTATCGTCCATACAGCATCAATTCGCTCGATCAACATTTTCAAAGGCCCGGCCCCAGCCCCCGAAGACGGTCCTCCTCTCTCAGCTTCCGCAACTCGCGATCTCAGTCTCCTCTGGCGAGAAATTGTCGCCATAGTAGGCGCATACGTTGGCACAGTAGTTATATTCCTGGGTTGCCTTCTCACGACAGGGAGACGGCTGCGTCGCAGCGCACAACAATCGAACCGAACACTGGACATGGAAATGATCAAACCGCAAAAACCAACACTTAACACCACAATAAACCCAGCAACACCTAGCAGACTTTGGTTAACTCCAGAAAGCGGAATAGATTCTCAAATGTGGCCGAGCCCAAAGAAAGGGAAATCCAGCTTTAGCATGCCTTGGTCTAACACTTCTAGAAGTCCTACTTCTCCTGCCTCCCAAACCGGAAGCATGGCCACATTTGATGAGACCATAGTACAAGCAGACCGAATGAGAGCCCAAGATGAGATGGAACGGCTCTACGCCGCGGTTATGGAACATGACGCAAAGCAATCTCGTGCTGTATACGAGACGAACGAAGACGAAAACTTGTCCCCGGCTCAACAACAAGTGTCGTCCTCCCCTGAATCCATCCAAGGTCCTCCAGAATTCCGACATCTCAGACATACCGCACTACCTGCCCATCCACAACAGGCCCGATTGAAGAATCAGCCCGCATTCCCACCCCCGAAAGATCCTTCAGTACTACAGCAGCAGCAACATCAACATCAACAACTACCTACCTCCCCTCTATCTCCTATAGCTCATCGATTATCAAGGCTTTCCAACTTGTCATTCCTCGGCTCTCGTTCTCGTGACACTACGGCGGGTGGCAAAGCTCGCAGGAAGTCGGTGCGAAATCTTCCAATCTCACCGCCCATGGGATCTCCGGCACTTACCTCGAGTAACTATTCCGAAACCCAACCGTTATCGCCACGGATATACAGCCCAGGACCTCCCCCACCTAATCCAAGCCAAAAATCGCTTGATCCCCCAAGCCGAAAAACTCCCACACCTCTCAATATTCGAACCGGCAGTAGTAACTCGACCCTACCATTTCGCGCATTCGCTTCACCTACAAGTGCTACACCAACTAAAACCACAGTTGTTGAGCGTCGCGAGAGTATGTTGAGGGCAGGCGGCCCTCGAACCGGGGTCCCGCAGACTCCATATTCCCCTTATATGCCCTTCACGCCGATCACACCCATTACCCCTAGTCATATTGTCACGAGACGGGAACGGAAACAGAAAAGGAAGGAGAATGGGCTGCGAGTGCAACAGGAGGAGGATCTAGTCATGAGCGATGAGGATATGTGGGGAACATAAAGTTTACAGATGCCCTCTATCTTCAACGTAAGAGTACTGAGATTGGATCGTGCTTTCATCCTGCTTCCTCGCGCTCCAACTTTGTATCCTGGAGATGGACTCTCTTTCTTTCCTTCTATTTTTTCCTTCTTTTGGAGAGCCCGGGGGGGATGGTGGGTGGCGGGGTTTACCTTTTACTTTTTTCTGTTAACTAGTGGTTGTCATTTTATTCCTTGGCCAATTCCTCCTGTCAACAATTTTCGGTATATATCAAGGCTGTTTTCTTATATTCCATTCCCAATATCTCTCTCCCTTTTCAGTATGGTACCTTTTGTTTTGCAGAACCCGCCCTAGCGAGCGAAGCCCCGGCAATCTCCACTACTCTCCGGTACCTTCAGATGTATACTTATTATATACCCAGCGTGCCCATCTGTACACATAGTAATAGTAAAAATAACTATGGTAGCTTAGTGTAGCTATCTATCCCTTCTCCACAATGAACCAAAGCCAGACTATAAACGGAAATCATCAAAATTATGATTAGCTGAATGTTACGGAGTGCATGCTAATATGATGTTGGACGAATAAAAGATTTGTCTTATACCTGCAAAGTTGTCATATTTAACAAAAGGCTCCCGCATCCCGGATAAACACTGCTCAAGAAATACTCTAAGAAAGATCATAACTGATCATACCTCCACTGCATACCTCTCCTCCGTTCCCGTTCCATCACTGCAGAGGCACCCATGAGCACCATCAACTCAAACCCCTTTCCCGCATCTCCGAACAACCCGTCCTTCTTCAATATTTCTAATTTCCCCTTCTTCTTCCAGCTCTTAAATCTATTATTCGCAAACGCCGCAACCACTTCCCCCGTCTCTTCGTCGATTAGCTTATAATTGCTAGGACTGAATTTCGAGGGCATAGACTCCTCAACGCCAACGCTGTGTGTTGGCTTCCAGAGGAACGCACGGCGGTGGGCACCGGACCTTGCCGCTGATAAGGATGTGGGACCGGCTATATCCCCGTCGCCAATGTTCATATCCAAATCAATTTCGTATCTGTACCGTGAATGATCCTTGCTCACCCACGCCAGATCCTCCCAAATCGTATCCTCCTCACTGATACCCAGGCCAATTTTCGTGCATGTCGAAAAAAGGACAAATTTACAGCAGCCCAGAATGGGTCCTGACTGGTCGGGGCCAGCATGCAGAGTCATGTCTGGTGTCCCTGAGGTGAAGTAGGAGTTTTGCACATGGTAAACGGGGCGGCGTTTTTCAGGCGACTTTGTGATGGTGAAGTTAACATCGGAGATGGAATTGAAGTAAATGTGGTAGATTGTTGAAGTTTGTTGGGATATTGAGGGAGACGAGGAGGAGGGAGAGCACGACCGGGGTAGGCCGGGAGGAGACCTGCGACACGCGTTGCCCTCATCTTGGAATTTGACGCGAGGATGGAGAATCCATGTTCATGGTTGAGTAGTTATCTTCCATGTCGGATTGAAACCAGGTTCATATGGGTAGTTGTATTGTTTTTGTACAATTAACAAGAGAGTCTGTGATCTTTGAGCTTCCCTCTGCTACGCAATATACAGTCTTGCGACGGAGAGGCATGTTAACTAGAGATTATACGGTATATTTATAGCCTACAACCTGATATTGCCATCATCATGATTCATGGGTGCCTGAGGTTTCCGGCACTCTGTCAACTGAGCAGGGCTCTCCTTGTCCGTAGTGACAGGAACAGGGGTTAGTACTGACAACCCACGATTCTCCTCCTGGGTTGAGATGAATGAATCGGTCACGAATCTGCTACTTCTCAAGAACACACAAGAACCTCACAAGGGGGGGGTCATAGAATCCCTTTCTTTTTCCTGCTCTCTTATGATTCATGAAAATGGGGGGGGTTGCTTCCCTTTCAACTTGTGGAGGTCGGGGACTGTCACGCCCCCGGCCGGCCAAGGCCCCGTTGCGGTTCCACACGGCCCATCGCTTCCATGCGGATGATTCCATTCATCCCGCAGGCTGTTCGAACCGGTTTCCAACCACCCTATGACATCATTCAGATATAATATAGGATAATAGGAAGATCTGATTGATGAATATGAGAACCTCACTTCTATATGAGGTCAGCGGATTACTCTTTCATGACAGTGAGATGCTGCTGAGGTATCACTCCAGCTATTCTTACTCATAGAATGAAAGAGAGATATTCATTTATTATCTATATAGAATAGCTAGATACTGACTTCTTATTATTAAAGAAGTCAGTGATTTATTTTTCTTCTATAAAAATATATATAAGAGTTACTGTATTTCTTATATAATCTTCTTAGTATACTAAGTATTATATCTGTGATATTCTCATAATAACTCTATAACTCACAAGCTCACTATTTAAGTAAGATAATTAAGCTTATTTATATAACTTTTTAAATAACTATTTCTATATAATACTACTAACTAGTCACTGCTTTAGTTCTATTATATTATAATTTAAATCACTTAATCTGATTATAAGTTTGAATCAGTTAAGCTCTATTAACAGACTGATATAATCTTATATATTTATACTGAGACTGATTCAATCTTACTCTCTGAAGAAAACTTTATATTATTTTCTAGAGTATGTATATCTCTATTTTAACAGAAATCTGAGATTTCTGAACTTACTGTATACTATAATATAAGCTCTTTAATTACTTTATTACTACTGCAGTCTCTACACATCTACATTTATTATAAAAATAGAGAGATTAAAATTAAAGATTATCTGAATTATAAGAGAAATATATTATCTAAATTTCATAACTTTATTTATATTCTTGAACAGAAATTTCATCTTAATCTGAGTCAGTTTAATACTTATAAGATATAAGTAATATACACTATCAATCTTCTTAAAGATATCTCTATAACTATTTAAATTATTAAGAAGAGAGAGCTTAAGTATATTAATACTATTATAACTTAAGAAGAATTCAAAGACTTTCTACTGAATTAGATTGAAGATTATTATAAGTACAGCTTTATAATAGTACAGTAATTTAACTTATTATATTAATAAAATAATAAGAATTCTTTTAATTTTAATATAAGATTTGAAAAATATTAAGAGAAATTAATTAATAATTTAAATTAATTAAAGATATAGCTTTATCTTATAAAACTGACTTATAAAATACAGAAAATAATATTATAGTATCAGAGTTTATTAATTAATTATATTAAGCTTATTAACTTAACTTTTTAAATCTATTTATTTATAAATACTCTGAGAAAAAGATTAATAAGATCTCTTTTAAGTAATTAATAATAAGATTTAAATAGTACTGTGACTAGACTGGCCGCTGAAATCATGAATTTCATATTTGATTTCATTTGATCTGATCTCATACATTTCTTGGCATGAATCCCGCTGGGACTGGCTATTAAAAAAACATGTAAAGTGACTATATATCAGATCTTAAAATGAAATCATGACTTAAAAAAAATGAGAAAGTGATCTCATTTGATTTCATTTAGTCTCATTCTTAGCATAAAGTTACTATTTTTAGACATTTTAAGGTTTTTTTAGACTATTTTTAATTTTTTAAAAAGTAACACTTTTTGATAACACTCAAATGAGATTTAAAGTCATTTAAAGCAATAAAAATAATTTAAATTGAGAAGTGGAAATCATGATCTCATTTGAAAAATGTGATAAGAGTAGACAGTAAGTCTCACTGAGACAGTATGAAACTACTATCTAATGTTAAAACCATGTAATGAAATCAGTTGAATTGATAATGAAACTATCAAAAAATCTGGTTCTGATCTCAGACACAGTTACATGATCAGTCTAACTATGACAGCTTCAGTATAGAGAATATAAAGAAGAATTTTAAGTATTCTGATTCTTCACTTACTATAAAGAAATATTAAAAAAGATTTAATAAAGATCTCTGCTTTAACTACAGAGCTGATAATTACTATACTATTATTATTAGAAGTTAAAGAAGAGAAGAAACTGAGAAGATATCTTTTCAAAGTTAACTTCTCTTCTGATAAATATATTTGTAGAAGATAAAGAAAAGAAATAAATAAAAATTTAATAATTTTTATATCTCTGAGTTTATATTACAATTATAATGAATACTTTAAATAAGAAGATATTAGTAAGATATCTACTTAACTTTAGAATAAATACTAACTTTATATTTTATTTCTTTTTTTTAATGAAGAATTAAAAGAAAATAGATCTATTAGATTATATAAAATTTACGGATGAAATAAAATATCACTATTTTAATATAATTTAAGTAAAGTATGTAATCACTGACTTAGAAGAAATCTTTAAAAAGAGTAGTCTATGTAAAAGATCTACACTAAATAGATTAATATAATATTAATAGATCTTATATAATTATTATTATTATTATTCTTTCATTATACTTATATACAAGTGAAGCTTATGATGAGTTCTTGTGTGATGTTAAATACAGATTAAGTGTTAATTATACAGAAGAAAATACAGGTGTTGAGATTATATCAAGATAACAAGAACATAGAAAATACAATGAAGTGATAATTAGATACATGTGATAATAACTTCTCAGCTCAGAAACATAGAGTGATTTATTGAAGTGATTTATACATCTCTGTATTTATTAGAAATCTGAGATGCTTGAGTTTCAGATTTAATGTATCTCCTGCGGGTTTTGAACTCACATGCCTTGATTTCCCACGCTAAGGTGCTACCAGGTGGCCGCATTAACCATTCAGCCACCGGGGCGGTCTTATATAATAAAGATAAAAACATTAGAAAAGAAAAGAAAGAGAAAGTGTGAAAATCAGCAATTGAAGTGAATATTTATACATGTATGTAATGATATACACAGTGAGGCTTCAGAGTGAAAGAATTATACATGTTTATAACAGCTAAGAATTGATGATTCAGAATGATTGAGAATCAGAGTGTACATGTTCATGATTACTGAGAATCAGTGATTGAGAATGGCTGAGAATCAGAGCATATATATTCAAGAATGAAGTGGTTGAAATCTGTAGAGTGTAACAGAATAGTCTATATAATTGATCAAGCAGTTTAAGAATAAAGTGATTGAAATCTGTAAAGTGTAACAGAATAGTCTATATAATTAATCAGATGCAGCCTGTCATATTAACCTCTCTCTTTCAGAAGTAGTTCTCATCAGTCAAGAACTGCTGTTTCAGATAATATGAAACTCAGAGTTCAGATCAGTTAATCATAGCTAACTTATTTTATAAAATATTATCAGTTATAGTTATATAATCTCTTATTGAGAATATTTTTAATCTCTTATTCAAGCTCATTATCTTCTTCTATGATCTCTGACAGCTGTTAGTAGACTGACCGTGTGACCGTGTCTGAGACCAGGATCAAACTTTACAGTTATCACATTGTCTAAAAGCATTACTTCTGATCATGATTTGTGTTCATTATATTGATCTCAAATCATGTTATTTCAAATATTAAAGATCTCAGATTCACTTTTCAAATAAAAATCTAGTCTCAGATAAAGAATATGTTTGAATTCTTAGTTACATTTTCATTCTGATCTCATTATTGAGAATGATACTAAATGAGACTATGAAATCATTTCTCACTTACATAATATCATAACATAGTACTCATTTGTTGAAAATTCAATAGAGAGTATTATTAAATATCATTACTTTTCTGAACACAGATTATAATTCATATAATTTTAATTATGAAAAAAACATAAAATATAAAAAAAAACAAAAAACAAAAAACAAAACAAACATAAGAAAAAAAAGAAAAGGAAAAGAAAAAAATAAAAAATAAAAACAAAAAAAAATCAAGGTCACAGAGTCACAGTATTCTCAAAATACTCACTCTTCAGAGTCTTTACAATGTTTATTATTAACTGTGTATCTCTCATAGTGAGAGTAACACAGCTGTGATTAGTTATTGTCTTAATATTATCTAATAAATAATCAGTATATATCTGTATAAATATGAATAATTAGAAAATATACACTTAAAAAGTGTGGTCAGGGTGAACTCTGCTGTCACTTGAATAACATTAAGAACAGAACACTGAAATCAATGATTTCTCTCATCAATTTCACAGATAAGATATGTGAAGATGATCTTGAGAAATATAAGATTCTCTGACTTCTGATAAAAACAGATCTCATGAAGAGACTCTATTTTCATGATATCAGAGACTGAGTGTTATTAAAAAGCATTACTTTTATATAATACACATGTACTTACTGCAGTGATTTACTCTCTGCACATGTGACTGAGAATTACAGCTTTCTCACACTGCATGACTCTCTCTGAGATGCTGCTGTCAGTTTGCAACTCACACAGTCTTTCAGTTCAGTATACACTGCATGTATACAGTTCTGCATGCTAGAGCTGTGTTGATCATTATAGCCTGATATGATACTTACTTTTCACAAGTCATGTTTCATTTGAGAGAGAAGAAGAAGATGCAACTATTATTTTATTAAAGAGAAAATGAATAATTAGTATTATTAAATGTAATTTAATTCATCTGTATTTAAAATTTAATTAGTCTATACTCTTTAATTTGAGAGTTTCTATGAGTGTTTTAATAGTTTTCATACTAGCTTGAACTTAGTGATGAGTTGAAGAAGAAGAGAAAAGAGAGAAGAAAGAAATAAGAATAACTTATCTTTATAATATGAAAACAGAGAATCACTGTAATCATTCTTTCTAGTAATAAAGATCTGTTTTCTGCATGTATCTCTGATATAGATTATATGATAAATGCATATAAAGAATATCAATAGTGCATGTATTAAATGAAGATAATATTACTATATAACACTGTAGCTGTTTCTGTACATCTCTGAAAGCTGTTAATAGTTTCTTTAT